CTAAAGTGAACTATTGTTATTTCAAATTTAAAAAGATCTTTGAAATTATTTTTCATGTTCGATGCAACTAAAGCCTTTCAGGCTTTTGATTTTGTATATCTATATTTATGTCTTTTCTAAGCTCTGAGTCTCCTCCAAAATGGAAAACTTCCAAGAGTTTTCAGTTCAGATATTGTAGAGGAATTTACCAGTCCCAATGCTAGGGAGTTCATTCAGGAGCTTCGAAAGGGATTAGATGCCCTTGGACTTTGTCAGGTAAAGTTAAAATGCATATATATATATATATATATATATATATATATATATATATATATATATATATATATATATGGAGAAATATAATGATCACATCAGTTGTTATAAAAGATTGACTATGAAAGATTTCAAGTCAAGAAAGTAGTGTCATCACTGTAATATAAAAGTACTGCAGTTAAAAATTGGGACATTTTTCAGATGATGAGTACTTTTCCACAGCTTCTTCATCTGTTCACTGATAATGATACACAAAACTTTCTGACATTAAAGAGGCTAACTAGTCTTTTGAAAGCTGACTTCAGTGTGGATGGGTCCAATCAAAGGCAGGCAGAGGGAAAGATTTACTCTGCATTCATTAAATATTTGCGGGAGGTTGCTGGTTAGTATAAAAACTTCTTATATTTTGTATTTTTATTTTCTATTTTTAAATTAATATTTATTACCATTTAAGACAACTGGGCCATAGCACTATATCGGGAAAATCTTTCAAAATATTCTAAACCATGATTAATCAAAAAGATATGGAAGCATCCTCAGTAAGTTTGTTTACATCATGATAGTAATTTGGTCATTTATGAAACAAAGGGAGAAAATACAGGAAATGTAAATAAAAGAAAAGTAATGGTTGGGCAAAGCTTAAAAATCTTCTTCTCAAGAACCACTGGGCCAGAAACTTATGTGGAAATATCCTGGGGTAGTATAGATTCTAAATTGTTCAAATCCTGACCCCAGGGGTAGGGCAGGGCCACAATAGAGAATCTAATTTTTACATTGAAATATATAGAAAAATTTTTAAAAATCTTCTTCTCGAGAACCACTGGGCCAGAACAGCTGAAACTCATGTTGAAGCATCCTGGGGTAATGTAGATTCTAAAGTCATGACCCCCAGGGGTAGGGCAGGGCCACAATAGGGAATCCAAGTTTTTCGTTAAAATATATAGGAAAAATCTTTAAAAACCGTCTCCTCAAGAACCACTGGGCCAGAAAAGCTTATGAGGAAGCATCCTGGATTGGTGTAGATTCTAAATTGTTTAAATCATGACCCCTGGGGGTAGGATGGGGCCACAATAGGTATGACAAGGGGGGAAATGTTGTGAAGAACAGCATGGTCAAAGTTATTCAGCAGAGCATTGTGGTCCATGAGCCTCTAGTTTAAACAGAAATTTTGCCCACTCTGAAGACTGGGATCATCAAATCTTGTCAGTATAAAACTTCAGGATATGTTGACCCAAATGTAGGTCACAATGATCTACATTTTTAATTGTATCATTTTTCTTTGTCAAATCTTTTATAGCTTGGATACTGAGATGCCTAGCATCATCAAACCCTGTCAGTTGATGTTCCTTTTGAGCCTCAGGATATATTTATCCAAAATATGTCAAAATGACACTTGTGGAATTTATCAAAAGAGGGATTAAAAGCTCTTTGGCCTCTTGTTGTCCATCTGCCTGTCCACCCCATTCCATGTCTGAACAATTTCTTTGTTATTAAAATCATATGAAAAAAATGTGTATAATTTGTATGACTCAAAGGTTGCTTATATGTCAAAATACATGTTATGATCTGAACCCAGGGGCTTTGAAGAAATGCAACAATAGATATTAAAAACAATGAATTTTTCTTATTTTCAGGAGGAAGAAGGGGGGATGTTTCATTATGCAGCATCTTGAAATTTGCCACTGGTTCAGAAGAAGAACCAGTTCTAGGATTCCACATTCATCCATCAATAGCATTCGTGAAAAATGCATCTTTAGTACCAACATCCAATACATGCATTAACAAACTGAATTTGCCTATCCCAGATGGGAACATGGAAGTACCTTCCCATGACATCCTGTTTAATCTCTATGATTATGCATTTTGCAATGCTTACTTTGGACTTCAGTAAAGAATACTTCAGTAATGTTAAAAAATAACCAGAACATTCAGGTTTCAGATAAAATTTAAGACAAGGGATTGCCCCAACACTATACTGGCATTATCCAATTTGTCTTTCTGTTCAATTTTTCATATTTTCTTGTTCAGAAATCATTTTAGCTCACCTCGACAAAGTTGACGTCGGTGTCCCAATTAAAGTTATAGGAGCAGGTCCATTTCCAAGTAATTATAAGCCCTACCTGGATCAATGCACCTAGGGATGGACACTACCATACTTGCCTCAGATGCTGGATTTGTCTTATATTTTCCAGATGAATGCTTAGGTTAAAGTTTTTTGAGCAAGTCCATTCCCAAGTAACTATATCCCCTTTCTGGACCAAACTTTCATGGATGATGCACATAGGGATGTACACTACCCAATCTGCTTCGGATGCTGGATTTAACCTACATTTTCCAGATGAGTGAATTTTAGCCATATTTTAACCAGTTTTACTTTAGCCTGGATGATGTTTCTAGGGGTGGACACTTCCAGTCTTGCTTTAGATACTGAATCTGACCTACATTCTTCAGATGAGTAACCAGGGTAATGTTTTTAGTGTAGCTCTATAATTATATGACCTGGTATGATTAAACTTGGATCTAAGGATGGACACTTCCAGACTTGCTCCAGATGTTTGAACTGACCGACATTTTCCTGATTAGTGAACAGGTTACGATTTTTGGAGCAGATCCATTTCCGAGTAACTGTAAGTCCTACTTAAACAAACTTGCATGGATATTGATCTTCGAATGCACACTAACTAGAAAAAAATATGATGTGAGATTTGTCATACCTATTGATGACATTTGTCGAGGTGAGCTTTTAATCTTTGATTACCTATGTTGTAAACTGTTTTGATTTTTTTTCTTTCAAACAAGAAGTTTGGAGGGATGAAGTTGTACACCTGTATTTTGCAGCTTTATCTGTCAATATTTTAGAGTTACTGCTATTTAATTAAAGTTGTCCTTTTGCCTAGATGTATTTCAGTGGCATTTTTGTCTGGATCTATTCAATGATTCTTTAGCTGTTAAACTTGTGGAATTCTAATATTTCAGTCAGCTGTCTTTCAACAAAGATGTAATTTATTTAACAGTTATACTTTAAAGGCTATTGTTTCCTGATGGAATACTTTAATTTGGTGATTCTACTCTTTCTTACTACTATACCACCATCGATCAACAAATTTTGAAGATACATTTATCTATAGGAATCACCAGTCTGACTGTCCATCTAGCTTTCAGATTGTCAGTCCAATATGGACTTAAGCTTTGTAATGGAAGAACATTTTAATATGTTCATACATCACAGAAAGGTATATATTAATTTATGATCTGAGGGTAAGTCATGACTTAGGGTCATTTGAAAATTTTCAAGGTCATTGAATTCAAAAGCATGCAATTCCTGGCACAGCCATCTTTTTATTTTCTAGTGCTGGGATTGTATAAACCCCTGCTTGACACAAAGATTGTTCATGACATAAGGATGTGTTTTCTGGAAAAATGTCTTTGTATATGGTCAAGGTCAGTGTAAAACTCTAATCTTCTTGAAAGAAGATGGGCGTGCAGAATGCCTATAGCTTCAGTTATTAAAATATCATATCCAGTTTGTGAATTAAGTATTTAAAGTAAAGTTCTCATTATTGAAATTTATGAAATTATGTTAAACAAAACTTTCTGAGAAAGAAAAAAATCTCAGGAAAATAATATTCTTGAAAAATAATATGGTGTATGTATTCATTGGATTCGAACCCTGGCAATAAAAATCCAGAGTATCATATTGCTTCGAGACTAACACGCTAACCACTACGCTACACAGCTTCTGATGAATTGTGGCATTTAAATCATATTTGTGATATGACCATTGACTTATGGACTTCTAGTATTTCTCAGAAAGATGCAAATGTTTTGTCATAAAAGTGTATTTTTAAGGTAGAGTGGGTCAATGCTCCTTGTTTTTGTAAACCAAAAAATGTATATTTTCATGCAAAGTTTAAGGTTAAAGTATGAGAAAATGATCCTTTTTGTCCTCTTTCGTGTGTGTATGCTATTTCATAGGCAAATAATTTCAGTCTTTGTGAGATTTTTGTAAATTGTAAACTAAAGGCAATTCGTCGGTCTTGTTCACCCATCTTCTTTGTAGCATGTAGAAATTCTCAAAACTTCTTCTTGACAAAAGTATCCTATTATTTGTCTTGGATTAATTGCAGGGTCATTTGGACAAAGTTAAAGTCTAAGGGTTCATACTCTACACAAAGCTTGCTTGTGACTAGAGGGGGTGTCATGGTCATAATTCAGTTGCATATAATTGGGATGAGGACCAAAGGAATTGCATTGTAAATTTGTTTAAATTTTACGGAGTACTTCTAATCTGCATTTATTAAGCTACAATCAACTATTGCGACTTTGTTAATATGTTTACAAGTTCACAATTATTTTTATATAATTCCTTTGAAATAAAACAAATGATTGATTTAGATTTAATTGCTTTATTGATAACATCATTTATATTTATACCAAGAAGGAGATGGAGTCAGAATATTATGTGTATGTACATGTACTTGTATGTAACTATGGTGAATATTGAAGAGTCTAGTAGCTTTAAACATAAATGTTGAAAATATTCATGCAGAAAAATGCCACCATTTTGACCAGTTAGTTTTGTATTTTTTTTTTTTTTCATTTGATGTTTTGAGAAGTTGATAATAAATTTTTGGAATGATCAGAGTTGTGTTGTACTTGGATAGTGGCTACAATTAATAAAATTGACACTAAAACAAATTTTTCCTATAGCTGGGAAAAAACTACATAATTAATGGATTTTTGCAGGTTTAAATTGAATAAAACAAGTCAAAAATTGAAATTATTCAAAACTTCTACACAAATTTGATATTTGTCTATCCCATGATTTATAGATGTCCATGTTGCTGGACACCTCCTCTCCAATTCTTCCAAGCAAAGTGGGTTCAACAAAGATAGTCCTTCAAAAATAGGCCGAGGATTTTCCTCCAACTCATTTAATCCATGTTCTAGTAAATTGTCAACACTATCGGAAACATCATCCCCAACAGGATTATTAAAATTTCCAGCAGTCCAAAGACACCAGGGACTAGCTTTTACAGTACTTAATCTGTGAGTGGCCCATGCGTTTGACCACAGCTTTAATTTTTCGTTTATTTTTGGTAAATATATGTAATGAAGACCGAGTAGATGAACTTCATTCAAGGGATCTAGAATTTCCTCCTCCTCCATGAAATAAAACAATCTGTAATAATAGCCAAGAACACCATTAAAAACATCTCTCCACAGTCTTTCTATGCGTTGATTGTGAACACTTTTCCCCAATAACATACTTGAAGATCCTCTCTTTTCAATCATAAAATCTGCTATTTTACTATTTTCCATTCCTTTGTCTGTACGTACACGCAGTGGAACCCCAAAATCTTTTACTCCTTCCATAAAACATCTAAAGACAGTGTCAGCTTTATTATTGTCCTCACATTTTAAAAAAACTATCATTCTGCTAAATCCATCTATACCACCTGATACGATGAAATTCCACCTAACAAGTTTGTGATTAGAATCGATATGCCAGATATGATTTGGTCCTTGTGACTGGTATGTCCTCCTCTGCAATCGTCCTGATCTCCGAGCCTTTATTCCATCTTTATCAATTTCATGCAAAATTAATCTCAACTTTGCTCTTTCTATCTGGAATTTAATTTTTTTATTACTATTAAATCCATATGTTTCTGATTTGCCTTTTTTCACAGGAACACTTGACTAGCAAAGATTTACATTTTTTTTTTACAAAAATACCCCCCCCCCAAAGCACACACACACACCCCCCCCTCTCTCTCTCACACACACACTCACAAACTAACCTTTATGTTCTTTTGTCGCAGAATGTGTGAAAGCATTATTTCACCACATGAGGGAAACTCCTCTATTAAATCCTTCACTATTTTTTTTATTTCTGTATCGTCAATATCTGTATAGACCCGCTTTTTTAAATTATATTCCTGCATTCGTCTGTATATTGTTTTCTCCGACACCGAAAGAAGGCTGGCAATATTTGAAATGGAAAAGCCATCGTCTATGAAATTTTGTAAAATTTCTTTTGGAATGGAAAACTTTGATGCTCCACAACCGGATATCTAAAAAAAGAGAGAGTCAATAGAAAGTTAATTAATGTGAATATAATATATTCATATTAATTAACTTTCTATATGCATATAAAAACTCGGTTACTGTACACTTTTCATATATATTTAACCCCCCCCCCCCCCCACACACACACCCAAAGCTTCCTTTTCTTATTAGGCATGATATTTCTTTATTGGAATAAAATTTGCATAAATTGCTAAGCAAAGTATGTGTCTATGAAATGATCAGGTGTGCTAATGCAAGAGTGTATAGCTTACCTGACGAGTCGGTTGCTTTGTGCCGTAATTTATGCAGAAATTTCGAAGTTTCGTCATTTCGTGAGGATGTAATCCAAGCTGCAACATTTCGTTGCGATTTAAGAAACGAACAATTAATGTCTGGTGTAATCTTTTCTTTTTCGAAAGCATCTATAAATTGATCCATTTTAAGTTCCCGTAAAATATCATCCATTTTTTAATAGAACGAGTTCCCAAATGAGCTGAAAGATCATCATAAAGAAGAAAGCACAGCATATAATACTGTGTCTGCATGACAACGAAATCCAAAATCTACAGCACGTAGTGCTAAAAGGACCGAACATAATATTTAACGCTCATCAGCATCATAATAAGAGAAGTACTATATATAATGATGAATATACAGTATATAATGTGAGAAGTACATAATATATTGTTGTTTTCACTGCATATAATGTTAGAAGGACCGCATATAATGTTAGAAGCACCTCATATAATGTTAGAAGCACCTCATATAATGTTAAAAGCACCTAATATAATGAGAAATGTACATAATATAGTGATATAACTAGAACATATAATGAAAGAAGTACTGTATATAATGGAAGATGCACACGATATAATGTAAATACTACTTCATATAATTAAAATAGTACCACATATAATGAGGAGAACACTGGGTATAATGTTTCATCCTCATATAAGACAGTCCCGGCGTTCCATACTAGACTAATTATTTTGTTGATCCTGATCTTCCTACTTCTCTTGCTTTAGGGCAAAAAAGCTTCATCTGTCAGTGTATTTAACTTCTAAATTGTTGTATTATACTCAGGTGACCGTTAAGGCCCTTGGGCCTCTTGTTTTTAAATGGGTTCCAATATGATTTTGAATTACACAACAATGGCTCTAGACGACTCAGACAAGCCATGAATCTTAAAAAGACCGACCAGCATCTTGAAATTGTTCATAAAAAGGAGTTTGATTTTCAACGAATAAGTGGTCCTTTTCAGCACCCGCCTTTCCCACCACTCCAGATTTCACCGTTAGGTCAAGTACCCAAAAAAGATGGGAATTTCAAACTTATTCAACACCTATCATACCCAGAAAATCACTCCATTAAAGGGCTTTTATCACGTATCTAACTTTCTTAAAAATGAAACACTATTATATTCTTGAAACATATAATTATCGTTTAATTATGAAATAATGTTGAAAACGGCCGTAATTAGACGATAAAACGCCCGTAATATAGGGTCCTCGAAGTAAAAATCTCCACTTATTAGATAGGGGTCACGTGGTACTGAAACGTCGTAGGTGTCAATGGTCAATAGAACTCGTAAAGCTGATCGTAAGAAAAAATATATTGAATAGATTTTTTCGCTAAATAAATAGAATGCACAGTATCGACGGTTGAAATTTTGACATCGACTATATTCCTTTGGTCTTTTAGGTATGAACGTCTAGCAGAGAGAAATAACCAGAAAATATGCCGACAGTTGGAGAGAGGTCACCGAAGACGAAGCCGTTGACAACTCGGGACTTCAACTAAATAGAGCGAATTACTAAAGTTTAACTTCGTAAACATTTATAAATATGGGAATTTTTAATTCTCCTTCATTATTATTTTAATTAATTATAATTAAATAAATCCTGTGTATCTTCTATCCGTTCTAGAAGTGAATATCATCTACTGGAAATGACTTTTCTTCAATGGCGCCGTACGCCATTACGAAGTTCACAACATTCCTACTAGATTCTGTGCGACTTGTGTAAAATGCGTGTTTGTAATTTATTATTTTTTTTTTAAAAGTATCTTTCCTTAAAGTATTTTATAGGACAGAAAAAAAATTTGTGATCGATCGGGCATAAACTATTGTTCTGAATGGAGATAAACGCCATCGCATTTGCAGAGAAGGGCCCCCCTTTCATCTCTCTACCAAGTCCATAAAAAATGTGGAGAAAAAATTCTTCCTTAAACCTTTCTTGTGCACATTTGTGCACCATAAAGCCATAAATTATACCTTACAAGCTATCAATTATCACTTAATTATTTTCTAACGTTTAATAGACACAGCAAATGAGCCCTTTTGTATACACAATAAGTACTTAGCTTGACCAAGATTGACACCTATGACGTCAGAGCAATGGCGCGTAACATCGGCGATCAAAATATGCATATTGAGAAATTCAAACTTTGAATCGCTGAAACATCAAAAATGTTAATTTTCTAGCAAAGATTTTTAAATATATGATTTAAATAGCATATAAACTTTGTCGTATCAAAAATTTTTGAGACGTGATAAAAACCCTTTAAATATTTCATAGCTCATGCAGCATGGTCAGCTCATTTCACTTACACTGACGATGCTGCAGCCATGTTAGTTCTGCTTGGTCAAGGGGCATTCTTGCCTAAGTCAGCATTTAGAATCAAACATCTGATTTTGACTTGCTAGGAAAGTCACGGTTATCAGGAGAAAAAAGAAACGACCATTTGGAGTAATCTGCCCCTAGTTGAGAGTAGTCTCTCGTTTAGAGCTCTCTAGACTGTGAAATTAGAAAAAGGTATGTTACCGAGGTAAACGTGAAGCGAATGCAGCCATTTTCATCGGATCGATTCCAAAAAGAAATGATAAAACATGTGAAGGAACCACCAGCATGTACATGTACCTCATTTTCATCAGTGATGAAGATGTGGATAAGAACGAGGACACTACGACAGAGATAAGTTGGAGGAATGACAGAAGAATTGAGGCACTGGGATTTCTGGTTGATACACTGTTAGAGGGGTCCATTGTCTGTCATTTCAAGATACCTCTGAAAATAACAGATATTGTGAATGAGAGGTGCTATGGTTTAGGCTGTGTGAAATCAGTAAAGTATTACTGAGGTAAACGTGAAGCGAGCGTGATCATTTTAAAAGGGTAGATTCCATAAAGAAATGATAAGCAATGTGGAAGAGCCACCAGCATGTCCCTCATTTTCATCAGTGATGAAGATGTGGATAAGAACGAGGACAACATGACAGAGATAAATTTGACGAATGGTAGCAGAATTGTGGAACTGGGACTTTTGGTTCATAGACTGTTAGAGGGGTCTATTGTCTGTCATTTAAAGATAGATACCTCTGAAGATAACAGATATTGTGAATGAGAGGTGCTATGGTTTAGGTTGTGTGTTATATATAAGGTGTTTGCGTGATGGAATCAACATTGTACCAACACGGAAAAAACAATGGCTGAGGACTAGCGAGACATGATGTGGAAAAAAGAGTTTGGGATGTAAACACTAAGTTAGCTTTAAGTAAAAATTGCTTAAATTTTGGTGTATGATATGTTTAGTGTAAAAAATACAATAAAAAGGATATTACTTTAAAATGCAATTAGAATTTATAATCTATGTCAACTGATAAACTAATCCAAAAACATACCTACTATATCTGATTACAATGGCATTAGGAAATTAGGGGGATTCGGTTTTTAAGGTCTCATCCAAAGGACCCACAACTTTTACTTCAAAATGCCGAGCGCTTGGCGAAGGAACAGTTGCTACATATTTTATATCGACTTAGGTCAGTCGCAGCCCTGATTCACACGACATTCCGATCACGGAGCGAGCGCTCTACTGACTGACCTACCACCAAAAAACAAGACGAACGAAATCAAAAAAGGAAAGACAGGAAGACAACATGGCGACCAATATACTGGGTCCACCTGGGCAATCGCAAATCACACCGAATCTATCTAACGCATGTTCAAATTCCATCCATGTGCAATACCCATCCATTCCATCACCGTCTATGCAACCACCACAAGATTTTGGTAAGTATGAACTCTACTCAAATGCATGTACAGCCCGATCTTCACTCGAACATTCCTACTACTACTACTAGTTCAGGTGTACCGCCCCAATGGGCATGGGAAATTTTCACTAGACTCGATGGAATCTCACGTCGATTAAAAAAAAACTTGACTCTATTCAAAGTTCTTTAAGTGCTATGCAAAGTCAGGTCCAGTCACTTACTTCAAGAGTTTCTTACGTCAAAAGGAGCGAAGAGTTCATTTCTAAAACGGTTGAGCACAGTGACAAAACACTAGGAAAACCCTGAGTGAGATAAACAATCTAAAAATAGCACTCAAAGAGTCAATGAATTTTAAGTTCTGGGAAGAATGAAGAATTCTAGACTTACAAATTTCTATGAGAGATAACGTACGTTCTGTTCTATAATATTAAAGAAGCCTTGTCTTGCTGTATCTGATGTGTCAGTATGTGCACGAGAAGGATTATGCGTGTCCCAGTTATCGGAGTTTATTACATTTCAAAGCAAACCACACGTGTTTTATTCAGATTGGCGAAAATGACATTCTGCGTTATGATTCGAAAAATCTGGTGACCGATGTATGTATCCTTTCCGTAGCAAGTTATTTACATGTGTGGGGAAAGATATTCCAGTTGTGACTGTTTGTCAACTATTGCGTCGCCAGCCTTGGGCGTCCTCTAGTGACTTTAATGTGAAAATAGTTTTTTGAAAAGGCAAAATGTTCCGGCCAGGAGGGAGTTTATTTTTGGCACCACAGGGGTTTTTGGAGCAACTTGAATTTCCCACCATGATTGGGTTAATTTACATTGCTCAAGATCTAATGTGAAAATCGTTCCCACCAACAATCTTTAAAAGGCAGGAAGTTTCGACCAAGAGGGAGTTTTGACACCACAGGGGTTTTTGGAGCGACTTGAATTTCCTCTGCCATGATGGGATTCATCTACAATGCCCAAGATCATCAGTCCATGTTGTGTCATGCACAGGTATTGGCGCAGCATTCGTTCAGCAATACTTAACTTCAAAATATTACTCAGGCCAGATTACTTGATATTTATAATATAATTATGTATGCCCGTAGACTGACCTAATGTTTATTTTTATTTGTGCTTGCACTTTAATATGTGACAATGCATGCAAATGAAGTACTTGGTCTCTATGGGACAATACACATTTATAAGTACATTAGTCATGTGACTATACGAGAACATATGTATAGTTTAACTTGTATTTCCCTAATGGAGTTAAAACAAAAAAATTATAGTTCATCTTTTTTATTGTTGTGGCTTCTTTTAGTAAGTTGTGTGGGACCATACACATAATGAAGTATGATTGACACTGTTCATAGAATTTGCTATTAGTATTATATCCTGTTCATTTGTGCAGGACCATACGCATTATAAAATTGAGTAATCAGTTGGTTACATCATTAGGTATTCGGGGCCATACGCATGACACCTTGGTTATTGAACAGTGATCTATTTGATTTTGTTATGCGGAACCATACGCATTTTACTTAAGATTATGTACAGTT